TTGAGGTGTCATAGGGACTTTGGGTGCCCAGGAAAGGACCAGAGCGAGTCCGAGCAAAGCGAGGGACACCTGGGCACTTACTTTTGCCTCATTGAGGACCATGCAGCGAGGCCCTCTAAATCATAGAATCATAGAATCCTTAAGGTTGGAAGGGACCAAGATGGTTTTGAATTTCTCCAGAGAAGGAGACTCCACAACCTCTCTTGGCAGCTTGTTCCAGGGCTCTGTCACCCTCACTATTAAGAATTTTTTCCTTAAGTTCCTGTGGAACTTTTGGTGCTTCAGTTTGCGGCCGTTTCCTCTAGTCCTGTCGCTGTCCACCACTGAAAAGAGGCCAGTCCCCTCCTCCTCACTGCCTCCCTTGAGGTATTTATAGACACTGGTCAGGTCCCCCCTCAGCCTTCTCTTCTCCAAGCTGAACAGGCCCAGCTCCCCCAGCCTTTGCTCATAGGGTAGATGTTCCAGGCCCCTGATCATCCTGGTAGCCTTGTGCTGGACTCTCTCCAGCAGCTCCACATCCCTCTTGTCCTGGGGAGCCCAGAACTGGACACAGTCTCCAGATGTGGCCTCACCAGRGCTGTGTATAGGGGGACGATCACCTCCCTCGACCTGCTGGAGACGCTCTTCTTAATGCACCCCAGGATCCCGWTGGCCTTCTTGGCCATGAGGACACCCTGCTGCCGCTGCTGGATGTCGGCAGCTCRGAGGAGAGCGCCCTGGAAAGCCTTTGTGCGCCTCGAGTCCAGAGTGGGAACTCCAGGCTTCGCGCCCCGTTTTTGCCTCGGAGACCTGGAGGAAATGCCTGCATTGCCCGTCGGTCGGTGCTTGGTGTGGCGCCCAGCGCGCTCACCTCTTGCGCTTTACTGAGCTGTGTTTTTGGAGCGGATGTGGCAGGAGCTGCTTGGAGAGGCCTCGCTAGGAGGACCTGTCCCTTGGGACCATCTCTGGGGACAGCATCCAGGAGCTCTCCTCCTCCTCCTCCTCCTGGCACCGGGAGGCTCCCTAGCCGGGTCCCTGACACCCTCTAGCGGCAGCACTTCTTACCTTTATCCCTTCAGGAGCTCTCCAAGCTTGGGTGGGTTGTGCGCCGCAGCCCACCCCGCTCGGGGTGGTAGGTAGTGCCGTATGTCCCGCTGCTTTCTAAGTGATGCGGGTGAAGGTTTGATGCTGTCCGCTGTGGCCAGCCTCGGGAAATGGGCTCAAGGCGGGCAGAAGCGAGCGGGAGCCCCAGGCGAGCTGCCGCCAGCGCCGGGGCCTGGTGGCCGAGGCCGAGCAGCCGAGGGCTGCTGGCCACGCTGCGGGGCCACGGGGCGCGAGCCGGGGCGCGCGGGTGGACCCTGGTGGGGACACTGGGGTCCGCGAGGAGGCCGCCTGTGTGCGCTGACCTCCTTGGAGCGGCAGCCGGGCGGCTGGCTCGAGGGAAACCGCCCTGTGGGTGCACACCTCTCAGCGTGTCATGTCCTGCCCTGAAAGCAGCTACCTGAGCGGAGTTCCCTGCTTATTTTCCTCTCCGTGGCCTTGTGAGAGCCCRCAATGTTCCAGAGTGAAATAGTCATCAGTTTCGTTCACAGCTGAAATGAGCTGTGATGTGGTTCCACGGGCACTTTCAGAGCGACGTTTTCCCCTTTCTCCTCCCCGCTTCCCAGCGTGGTGCGCTAGACCCCCCTTGCAGTGTGACTGAAAACGTCACCTGTGCATCACTGGCCAAGCAGTGTGTCGAACACAGCGCCTTCCCCGCGGTCCGGCAACGCAAGGCACTTGTCTGTCTCTCGTGACGTGTCGCCCTGAGAAACCAGGCTTGCAGAAATCAGGCTCTCATTTGGAGAATGGGTCTCTAGCCTTTCTGGCTATGACGGTGCCTAAGTGTAATCCCGCACCGAAGTGATTCAAGAGCATGGCCTCAAGCTTGCATGCAGCCTGAGAAAATCTTCCTGATTCATCTACTCAGGAGGATATGGTTGAWTTTTTTTTTTTCTGCCAAAAGGATGAAGACTACGAAACAGTGTGTCAGGCATTGCCTGTAAAACTACAGCCTTCAGCAAAACACTGCTGCCTTCTGCTGTGGTTTTTATTGKTGGTGGTGGTGTTTTTTTTTTTCTTTCCTGAGGTGCATTTTGCAATCCCTTGCACATGTGGTATGAAAGATGATAACCCTCTAGCCAGATTAGGATCTGGAAACTGTGAAGTCACGAGTCCAGCTGGCAAAACTGTGTGTGTGTCTGTTTGCAACCAGTCCCTGGAAAGGCTGAGCAAGTGCTGAGCAGCSGTGGCTCTCGTGTCCTCCTCTCCCCCTAAGGAGGTGGGCTCCAAAAGCACATTGATGCAGCTGCTACTGGGCAGGCTTTGGTTGGGACTCGATTTCTGAGCTGTGCACTGTGTTTTGTGGGGACCATGGGGCTCCAGTTTGCAGGCCAGGTTTATGCTCTGTAATGCAGCATATAGAGGCTTGCTTTGCTGAGCCAGGGACGTGCCTGTGTAAAAAAGTGCGCTGTCTGTCCCTGTTGGTGACGGCGCTGCCGTGGGCTCAGGTGTGCTGTGGGCAGGGGCTGTGCAGAGCTCCCAGACTGGGGAAGGAGGACAGGCAAGTCATCTCTACAGAGCTCGGGACTGGTGGAGGGAGAGGTACCGGGAACTGGGTTCCTGCCTGGCAGCGGGGAATCGTCCTGGTACTTCTCTCTCCAGCTGTTTTCACCTTGTAAGTTGTTGTGCGGAGGCTGGTGTAGGCAGCTCTGCCTTTGAAGCCGCTCAGCAGGGAAGTAACTCGAGCAAGATGAAGATCAGATTTAATTCATTTAAATAATATAAGAAAAAGTTTCAAGAGACCGTGGCTGGAGGGCAGAGAGAATGGAGCTGAGCTGCTCTGGAAATTATTCAGAGAGGTTTTAAATGAGGAATTTAAATCTCATCATGCAGGAGTCGTGAGCCGGGGGGTTTAGTTGGCAGCAGTCGCCAGCGCTCTGGAGCCAGAGGGAAGGAGAGAAACGCGAGGCGAGCGGCTCCCCGGCACGGGAGGGTCCTTAGCTGGTGGGCAGCGAGCACTGGTGGGCGTCGGGCTGGGGGCACGCGGGGAAGGGAGCAGATGGGGCAGGGGGCTGCCAGACCTCGGGCAATGACTGCCACACAAATGGTCCTTGCCGGGGGCCTGCCCTGCTTGCGGCAGTAAATTCCCTGGGCAGTGAACTCCTGGTGAAAGCCAATGTACCCGCGGGGCTGCACGAAGCAAGAGTTGCCTCCCCTTTCCTCCATCGTGTGTGTCTTTTTCCATTTCCTCTTCTGTTTTGACTTTCCTGCCACAAATAATTCCAGGTTGCTTTTATTGAAACTCATTGCTTCTTGTAACAGTGCCTGAATGAAACAGATGAAATTTCTGGCAACTAAGCTAATTTTGTCAAGTCTTTCAGTGTTGTCAGTGCAACGACTCAGAGATATGTTAATTACGTTCTGCCAGTACCTGGTGGCACTGAGGGCATTAACAAATTCAGTGAAGCTGCCTTGCCTGCCTTGTGTACAGACATGGGGAGCAGGTTTACATTATTCTGTTCGGTGATGTTTCTTGAGACATCAAAGTTTAAAAACACTTTTTTTTTTTCTATGTAAGAAAGTCTGTCTAATTATGATGGAACTTCTGCTGAAATTAAGGCACCATATTTGCAAAAGAATGCTGCTGCAACTTTTCCTTTTCCTCCTGATTTTAGTAGCAGTCCACTCTTCATAAATCCAGTTTTGTGATCTTTTCCACTGTCACTCACGTGCTGCATATAGGATGCGGGAAGAAGGAAAGGAGAAGGCTCGGGCTTTCCAGAGAATACGTGGTGACATTCCGAGAGCTCCAGCCCTCAGTGCCACCTGATTAAGCTGCAGGGGTGGAGAGTTGCTTGCAGTGGGTTGTCTGTCCCTCTCTCTCCTGGTCATTAGGGCCCACAGATCTGGACGGTGTGTGCTGGTGCTGGGGATTCATTAATCCCTGAGCGTTTCGGCGCACGCCGAGGTGCCCAGCTCTGGAGCTGCCCTGGGTGCAGCACGGCGGGGAGCCTGCCCAGGCGCCTGTCAGAGGGAGCAAGGAGGCTCCTGCTGTRACCTGCCTTCTGCCCGCCTCAGAAAGTTGGTTGTTTGTCCCCCGTGCCTCCACTGCGCRGGTTTTCACCCCCGCATCAGCCCCATGTACAGCTTATCCCGAGTTTGTGGCACTTTTTCTCCTTCCGCTGGTTAATCATCTTGAAATATAGCCAGCAGTTTTATTGCCAAATGCCTTGATGTGTCTGTGTCTCCGGAACAAGCACTGGGCATTTTGCAATTTCACTGCTGCCCTCCATGGAGCCAGCTCCCTCCAAATGCACAAACCCCATTGTTTTGCTTGAGGGGGTCGTTAAAATGTGAAAGGATGCAAACAAAGGAAAGAGGAATTGGATTTCCTGACTTCTTCATGAGGGAAGATTAAAGGAACTACGTTTAGCCTGGCCAAACAGTGTCTAGGGGGCTGAAGACACAATCTAGGGCTAGCAGAGTGTCTGCAAGATGTGAGGAGGGAGCAGAGGAGGCTGTTAAGCTGGGTCCAGGGGCCCAGGACAGAGCGATGGCCCAGAGAGAAGGGAGGCAAACCTGAAGGCAGGGCTGCGCGTCACGAAATACTTGAGTGCATTAAGGTGTGCAGTAGGAATCTCTGCAGAATGATGGGAACCTGTGTGGTAGCTGGGGCCATGGAGCAGGTGTACAAGCAAAGCACTGGAATATATACTGTCAATACAGATATACTGTCAGTAACAGTTTTTCCTCAGCCAAAGTCTTTGAGGATGATTCTGTTTTTATTTGGGGCTAGATGTGACCTTATTAGGACTTTGCAGTTCTCTGGCTTACGGTTAGTTACAACAGGAGGAAGAACCCTCGCCCCTAGGCCTGCGTGCGCGTAGCCAGGCTCTAGCTGCCGCCCGGGTTTGGTGTTTCGGCGTTGCTAACTCACGGGCGGTGTTTCTTCCCCCCGCTCCTGCCTCCCTTTGCTGCAGTCATCCCCGACTCGCTGCGCGTGACGGCCGTGCCGCAGACGCTCAACAAGGTGGAGCGCGACTCGCTGGAGCTCAAGTGCGAGGTGTCCAAGAGCACGGCCCAGCACAGCCACGTCTCCATCGGCTGGTTCCGGCAGCGAGGCGCCGAGGCGCCCGTGGAAGTGATCTCGCTCAGCCGYGACTTCGTCCTGCGCGCCGGGAGCCTCTACGCCCAGCGGCAGGCCACGGGGGACATCCGCCTGGACAAGGTGGGAGATACCACCTCCAAGCTCACCATCTACAACCTCCACCCGTCAGATCAAGGGGAATTTTACTGCGAGGCTGCTGAGTGGATCCAGGACCCGGACAAGTCGTGGTACGCCATGACCCGCAAGCGCTCTCAGGGCACCATCGTCAACGTCCAAGCCACCGGTCAGTGTCTCCTCTGCTATTCCTTGCTCATTGGGGTGGGAGGAGAAGCCAAGCAGTGATGTTGTGAGAGAGTGGAGAAGGGGGCTATGTGTCATTACTGTTGTGGGGAGGTTTGGGTGCTGACTGGGGCAGTAAGTGGTGCTCATCACAGTGTCCTGCTGCTTGTGGGTGTGCTGCTATCCAGCCAAAAAGAAAAGAAAGTTTTAAAGACTGGCTGCAAAGCACCTGTCCGTCACATTAGGGTCCTGTTTTATAGTCTGGTACACTTAATGCAGCACTGGGGAAAGCTGTGTCTGGTCTGGGAGCTAATGGCTTCAGACTGTGGTTCTCTGTAGGCTCTGGATGTCTGTGGTCTGCTGAGATAATCTCAGTGGCTTTGGGATGAACTCTGGAAAGCAGCTGCTCCCAGGAGGGTTTCTGAGGTCCCTCACTGGTGGATACCTAGAAGGAGGCAGACTAGGCTCCCTTCGTTCTGTGTTTGTTATTGAAATGTCCCATTGCCCTGGCCCCAGAGGTACCTCCGAGCAGCGAGATGGGGATCTGCACTAGCGACGCCCCCCTCACACAATATCCCCCTTCCCCCTGGTTCTGCCCCTTCGCCTGCCAGGGCAGGACCAGGCCACGTCTTGTGGCAGGGAGGGCTCCCTGCTCTTCATGCCTGGCCCTACTGGTAGGTGCTCTGCAGGTTCTTAGGAAGTGCCTGCAGCTGCCCTGTGCCAGGCTCCCTTGTCTGCCTTGTTCCCTGCTGGAGAGGTAGTTGGCAAAGGCCAGACCATGTAACGCGTGGTCACGGACTGCCCGAGCACAGGGAGGCTGCAGGTGAGCTGCAACAYGGAGGAACTGCAGCCACCAAGCCATTGCTCCTCGTGCAACCAAAGATCAGAAGTTGAAACAAGGAGGTAAAGCACACATCTGAAGTGCTTGGTCCTGGCACAGACGAGTTTTGAAAAGTGAGGAGATTTGAGTGACACGGGCAGAAAATAAAACTAAAAAAATGTGCAAACACTTCTATATTGCATGAGACCCTTTTGCAAGTTAAAGTCCGTCTTCCAAGCAATGCTGCAGGTTTCTCTTAAGGCTCTGAAAACCTAGCTGATCTTTATCTTCCTCTGTGGCACCCCAAAACCCCTGCCCCTCAGTGCCTGGTGAACAGAGTCTGAGTGAGACAAGACTCGAGGTCACCATCCCACAATGCCCGTGGATTCTCAGCTAAAAGCAGTTAGAAAAGGTGCTCCGCTGGTGAGTGCTGGTGGCTTGACCTTGCGGGATGCTCCACGGAATAAGCAGGAGCATTTTCATCGGGACCAGGAGCCAGGGCTGCCCAGCTCTGTCACCTGCACCGTGCAGAGCCCACCTTGTCTCTGTGGGATGGTGGCTGCTTCAGAGCACTCCGTTAGTCAGAGCCCTCCTTGGCGTGCTCTTCTGCTGCAGTTGCCACAGAGCTGCTCCCCCTAATAAAGGTTAAGGGAAAATGAGCAGTTCCTGCTTTCCCCTTTGGCTGGGGAGGCTTTGCAGCTTCGCCCCACTGAGCAGCAGGCTGCCCCTCCTGTGACACAGGTGGAGTCGGTGCTCGCAGCAAAAGCCTGAGCCCTCCCCGTGCCTGATCGTGTGTCCAGGGGATGCTGCCTGCACAAGGATTGGGGGGAAGCACACGGCAAGCTGTGAATGCAGCAGAGCAGCMGTGTTGGTGGCCGGCCCTCGCCGAGGCTGCTGGCCTGCTGCGTGTGCTTTGGCCGTGCTCACATGTCCTGGCCGGTGTTTCCCTGTGTTTCCCCAGACAAGGAGTTCAGCGTTCGGCTGGAGACGGAGAAGCGGATCTACACCGTGGGCGAGCCGGTGGAGTTCCGGTGCATCCTGGAGGCCCAGAGCATCCCCGACCGCTACTTCTCCATCTCGTGGGCCTTCAACAGCTCCCTCATCGCCAGCCTGGGGCCCAACGCCGTGCCRGTGCTCAACAACGAGTTTGCCCAGCGCGAGGCCCTGGGCCAGCTCAAGGTGGCCAAGGAGAGCGACAACGTTTTTGTGCTGAAAATCTACCGTCTTCGCCTGGAGGACAGCGGCAAGTACAACTGCCGGGTGACCGAGCGGGAGAAGACGGTGACGGGYGACTTCATCGACAAGGAGAGCAAGCGGCCGAAGAACATCCCCATCACGGTGCTGCCACTCAGTAAGTAGAGCTGTGCCCACGCTGCCCTGCAGCTGTTGCCAGAGGTGCCAGCTGCACGGGGCAGCTGGCTGCTGAGGCTTTGCTGTGCCCAGCCTGAGTGGGACGCTAGTGAGAGGAGAGGGGAGGATAAGAGCTTGAATGCTGTGGAGGCCTGAAATCCGAATTGTCAAGTTTGGGTTTTTTTTAAGGGGAAGGGAGGAGTGAAGAAAAAGGGGTGTGTTCTGTTTAGGTTCATAGGTGCGAAATGTGCCCACACCTTGATGGTTGCTGCAAGCTGGCAGATTGGCTTTGGGTGGAAAAGTGCATGTGAGGGCCTCTGGTTGTTYTATCACACCGTCTCCTCACCTTCCTCTGCAGGGAGCTGGGAGCTCCGAAATATTCAGCAGTGTTAATGAGGAATCCTGCTTGTCCATGCCTTAGCTTAAGAGCTGCTAGCTTGCTGGAGAGGTCTCAGAGGCTGTTGTTCAGTCGTTCAGCCAGACTGTTCCTCTACAGTTGCTGGGGTTGTTCCTGTGCTGGGAGAAACCGGGGATCACGTGCTGCTCAGGCCCAGCTTTGCTACTCAGGCCCAGCTTTGCTACTCAGGCCCAGCTTTGCTGCTCAGCACAGAGGTCTCATGTGGTCACTGCATGACTGCTAAACCTGGTGTGAACAACCCTGTCAGACTAACCTGAATACCTGTTGCATTTGTCAGATTGTAAATAGAGAAATAGCAGCAAGGGAGAAAGGGTCCCGTGACTCATGTCTTTTTGTCTCACTCTCAAATTCAAGTAGGCTTGGCATGGCAGACCGTGGAAGTATTGTCCAACGTAGCCTAGCAGTGAGATTGGACCAAACAAAGGAGTAGCTGTGAGAGGAATTTGTATGGTGCTTACATCCTATCTGTTGGTTTTGTAGGGAAATGCAGCCCTTTTCTCAAGCTTTTTTTCCTCCTCATTTTTCCAAAAGAAATTCTMATTCTTTTCTCTCTTAGCAATGTTGGGTCTCATTTGTTTGATGTTGAAAATTGCTCTAGTTAGAAATCTTTCACTGGACAATTGTTTGAAATATAATGCTACCACAACAGGTTCAATTCCTGAAATTTCGTAAGTCAACAGCTTTAGGAACAGATGTGATGATTTTTCAAGGGTGCTAAGTGTCCAACTCCGATGGAAGACAACAGGAGTAACCAGCACTCAGTATCACTGAAAAACCAACTCTGACATTCGACATCTTTGGGAAGCTCAGGATGCCCATTTTTTTTGATGATGCCAAACACTGATAGCTACCTCTAGGGTTAATAGTGATGGGAATCTGGGAGAGCTTCTCCTGAAAGGTGTTGCAGGAAGTGGAAGTGGCAAGACGATAATCACAATGGCATGAATTGGAAATCCCGGGGAGCTGGAAGCTTTTTTGGCAGAGCCAGTTGCATGCGGTGCATGTGGCRACACAAAATCCCCTCAAGGTTTTTGGGATCCCAGCCTGGACCTGCAAGCAGAAGATGCGTCGGTGTCTCGTGAGCCATAGGGAGAGAGCGAGCGTTGGCCTACACGTGCTTTGAGTGTGCAAGTCACCAGGAGCAGCTCGCTGCCCACAAGCTGGTTTTGGATGTGGTCACGCATAGAGTTAAGATGCGCCTGGACCCAAACGCGTGGGCAGTTTCCTGCACCTGGTAAAACATCCCTGGGGACGTCAGCTTCCTTCTTGTGGCCGGAGGAATACGAGTGTGTATCATCTCCCCTGTGTGTATGCGTTTTTCTCCTTAGAGACCAGCATCTTGTTGGAGGTAACCAACAATGCCAGCAGTGTCCTGGAGGGCGAGAGCCTGCGCCTCGGCTGCAACGTGCGCTCCAGCTTCGGGCCGCAGAGCCGCCTCTCGGTCGCCTGGCAGCTGGTGGACAGGCAGAACCGGCGCAGCGAGATCGCGCGGCTGGATCGGGACGGCAGCCGCCACGCGGGGCCGGCCTACGCCGAGCGCAGCAGCTACGGCGGCGTCCAGCTGGAGCAGGTGCGGCCCGGGGCCTTCACCCTGGAGATCTTCAACAGCCTCAAGGCCGACGAGGGCCACTACGAGTGCCGGGTGGCCGAGTGGACGCGGACGYTGGATGGGGAGTGGCAGATGGTGGGGGAGCGGCACGCTGGCACCACGGTGTCTGTCACTGCTCTGGGTGAGTACTCGGGGGGCTGCAGGGCCGCGCGCCCCACGCCTCCCCGGCCGCCTGGGGGTCGGCCCCAGATCCCTGCTGCTCTGGGGTCTCCTGTGGCGGCTGCCGAAAAGGAGGCACCCAGTGGCTGGAGCCTGGTCTGCAGCTCCTGGGTAGGTTGGCGCAAAGCGACTACTTGCCTTTTTGTGTTGGAAGGCTCAGTCTGAGGGGTGGCCGTAACACGAGCAAGATGGGGGATAGCTGAAAAGAGGGACGGTGTCTCTGGCATCCTTCCAAGGAGAGAAACCAGCAGATGAGTGGGCAGCATAAGGCTTCCCGACCCACTGAAAAAGGGCACCGTGTCACCCGTAGTGCTGGAGATGGACTGTGGGAAGCTGGGTTGTGGCACTGTCGGCAGTCCTTGGGCACTGGAGCTTCACGTGGACCTTAGGTAAACCTTGCCTGCACTCACTAGGCCAGGAGAGTAAAACCTGCCCTTGTGACACACTGGGACCACCAGGAATTGGGAGCAGCTCCTGCAGCATGAGAAGTCCTCAGGAGCTGTGAGTCAGGCCCAGTCCTCAGTGTCTCTGCACAGGAGGCCCTGAGCAGCTGGCCCAAGACTATGCCACAGTCCATTGACTGAGCTTGAACCAGAAGCCAGGATCATTGATGCCTCCATTTCAAATACACTAAAACCACACTGATTTAGGAATTAGGGCGTTACAGGACTTGCGTAGCCTGGGAATTGCATGGGGCCAGTTCAGATCTTGCTGTTCTGAGCCCGGGACCGATTCCCAAAGTATTCTGCAGGAGACTGAAGAACGGACGACTGTTCCTGCGAGGCCACAAATTTGCAGAAAGCCAAAGCTATAAACAGTTGGTGTACGCTGTTGAAAAGTTGAGATAGATTTTTTTGGTTCTCTACAGTATTAAATTTAAGCTTTGGTGAGATGTCTGAGAGACCAGATGTAAAAGTAATATCATATGCTGATTAAAATCTTGCTTTTTCCTCCTTTCCTCCCCTCTACTTTTGACCTTCTTTCAGAGGCTGCTCTGTCTAGAGCTAGAAATCATTGCTGTACAGCTTCTGAAAGCAGGTAGGAACTTTAGCTTGTAAAAAACTAAAGGTAGTTTTTCAGCTTGTTTAAACAGTTTTCCTCTTGAGGTCAGTGGCATTTAGCCTGTTATAAATCTATGTATCCATTTGCTTTACTCTGCAACYTGTGAAGGTTTTTGGGGGTAGAAGAAGAAGTACGATAGGAAATTAAGTGATCAAATTTTAAAATGCATCACTTCTTAATAAAAGTTAAGATATTCAGAACTCCCCAGCAGTCTCAGAAAATGTGACTAAAAGTTCATTTTCTCTCTCCTTCCATTCCTCGTCCCTGAGAAGTCTGTGGCTGTAGAACACGTTCTGTCAAGTCCTGAGACATTTCCTAGGTCCTGTTTCTGTAACAAGCAAAGACTGAAGTAGCTCCATGAAATTTAATGGGAGAAAATGTTGATTGTTGTTGTTGTTACTGCTGAATCTCATGGTTTTGGTTCTGCTTTATCTTTGTAAAGTGTTTTGAAACTCAAATAGAATGTGCCAAGAAAGAGCAAAGGAGACTTATTGCTACAAAAAGTGACAGTAAAAATGCAGTAAATTTAAGTGACAGTCACATTTCAAGTTAAGATCTAATCGGTTGCCAGTCTGCCAGAGTAAGAAACTCTTTAGCTGAACCAGCACAGATTATTTTAGAACCTGTAAATCTTCCTACATTGTGTTTCTGAAGCAACAGCCAGAAGAGACCTGGGCTGTCAGATGAAACCAGATGTCCCTGAACTGCTGGAAACTCTGGTGTAGAGCAGGAGTYTGAGTCTATGGATGGTTGGGAAGGAAGTGGGGCAGATGCTGCAGTCTGTAGAAGYGAGGCCAACTGGATGAGGGGATTCRGACRCATTGTACATGAAAATAGGCCTGCTTTCCTGCATGGCTTCCCAAGTGCCTCAGGAAGAAGGGCTTCTATATGTTAACCCAAATGCCGTGAGTTTGATGAGTTCAGGACCTGAGGAAGAGATTTGTTTTTGCAGGGCAGGTAAGGGAAGTACTTTTCATTAAACCCAGCCTAACTGGAGGTAAAGCTTCACAAGCTCAGCTGGTCTTGAAATAAAATCAGTCTCCTAGCGCCAGAAATCTCTGCTGTGCTGGGCCTCACAACACACTTGCCTGGCCAGGAGAGCTGCTGCAGAGTCATATGTGACAACTGATGTGGGGATGAGTCGCAGCAKTGAACGGCCTCCTGAGCCTCGTTTTCCTCTCCTTGGAACTTCCAAGAGGCTTTAATCCCAAAGAGTGACCTGTTTTCTCTGTAAAGACACAACTGAGAGTTCTGCCATGGTGACACTCTTGGGTGATGAGGGCAGCAGAGGCGCTTGCTGGAAGCGTAATGACCTTGTGGTGACTGCTGTATCCAGCTGGGCCTGGTGGCAGTGACCCTGCAGGCTGAACCCCGAGCCCATCTCCTGCGGCTGCAGGGTCCTCTCAGGCTGTGATTTTGAGCCTGTGGTAGACTCAAGCTCCATGATGATCTGGAAGATGTTTCTGTTTCTCCTGGGTGCTGGCTGGGGACTTCACCCTCAGAGCTGCAAGGAAGGTTCCACCCCATGCCTGAAATGTCAGCACTGCAGAGGCGGGAGAGCTTGTAGCCTGCTTGAGATACCCCGTGCAGACTTCCAGGACATAAACCTTTTTTACTGATGGGGAAAGTAGGTCCCTGCTAAAAGTCTAGAATGAGATTTTTTCTGATTCTAAGTAATCAGGAAAAAAAAAGAAAACAAAAAGAAGAAGAAAAAAAAAGCTTTTTTTTTCTTCAGTGAAAACAAATGAATGATGGAAATTCCCATACCCCCAAAACCTAAGATATTCAACTTGGAATGTGTTGTCTTCAGATTACTAGTAAGCTGCTACTTTTAAAATCCCCTAATCCATTGGATAAAAATGGCAATATTGAGGACAAATGTATTGACTAGCTTGTGGAGTTGTAGGCATATGAGGAGAGCTGTATAAAGCTGTCTTACAGTTGTAATTTGAAAGACAAAGAAAAAAAGAAAGTGCTGTAGGAAGAAGAGAATTCAGTGAGYAGCTTCTCTCCCACATCCCTCCCCCTGGGCTTCCCTACCCACTGTCCGCTCTTCGGAGCAGGAAAGCAAGGTCTTCCCACTTTGCCCACTGTTTGCCTGTGACTATCTGCGGACATTGAGGGGCAATAGCGAGGAGGTGCCTTGCTCGAGAGGTGGCTGTGGGTCAGGGCAGTCAGTGGTCAGTGTAGTTCCCTTTGCAGTCACATCCTGCCCCGGGCGGGTTGTGCGCCCACTGCGGACGGAGCGGGCTGCCGAGCCCCACGTGGGGCGCGGTGGCGGCATGCAGAAGTTTGGAGGCGGCCGCTCTCGCGCTGGGTGGCAGGCAGGCCTGCTCGTCCTCGTGGAAATGGAGCGTGTCCCTGTTGCCGCTGCAACAAGCGCTCGCTGAGACTGTCACTACTGTGCAGGCAGTTAAGTGTGATTTTCCCATTGCTGCTCGTGCCGCTTTGKGGCTCCAAATGGGAGAAGCCAGCGCAACACGAGCAGCTGATGATTCCGGACTGAATGGGCCCACTGTACGTTTCGCATGTTCGCGGCGGAGAGCGGGGCCTCGTTGGGCAGGTGCCTCTCAAAGCTCCTTTCGCTCTCTCCGCAGAGGCCGGCTTCGCCGTCACCGCCATCTCCCGCACGCCCGGCGTCACCTACAACGAGTCGTTCGACCTGCAGTGCATCATCAAGCCGCACTACCCGTCGTGGGTGCCGGTGTCGGTGACGTGGCGCTTCCAGCCGGCGGGCAGCAGCGAGTTCCACGACCTGGTGACCTTCACGCGCGACGGCGGCGTGCAGTGGGGCGAGCGCTACGGCGGCTTCCGCACGCGCACCGCCATCGAGAAGGCCGAGGCGAGCAACAACGTGCGCCTCAGCATCAGCCGCGCGAGCGACACCGAGGCCGGCAAGTACCAGTGCGTGGCCGAGCTCTGGCGCAAGAACTACAACAGCAGCTGGACGCGCCTGGCGGACAGGACCTCCAACCTGCTGGAAATCAGGGTGCTGCGGCCAGGTGGGTGCCCGGGAGCCGCTGGGAAGGGCTGTGTGGTAACGGGTGGCTTTGCAGGGCGGTGCTGGCCTCTCAAGCAACAGCAAGTGCTGCTGTTGCTGCCGCCGCTGGGATCTCGCACGTGTGGAAGGCTCGGGTGGCACCGCTCAGCCCTCCCGCTGCGCTTGTGTCTTGTCCTGTTYTCCCCTTGTGGAAAAGTGAATTCCTTACAGCTTGTTCCATGCTGTTTGTGGGTGTCATTTCTCTGAGGTGAGGTGGTTGCTTGGCCCGTCCCGTCTCTGGGCTGCTCTTGTGAAACAGAGAGGGCTTTCAGGATGCCACCTCCTTTCGCTGGAGCAGATTGACTCGGGGAGGAGAGGGGAGGAACAGTGCAGGCAGTATCAGAGAAGAGAGGGTGATGCTCCACCAAAGGTTGTGTGTGCACTCCTGCCATTGCTGATGTGGCCCATCTTATCTAGTAACGGGCTGGAGGTGTCCTACTGTCCTGCAAAGCAGCCAGTGGTGAGAGAGCCTGATATTCATCCCCACCAGAAACTGAATCCTAGTTAGAAGACACCAAAGCCATGAGTGCCTGCACAAGTGTGCAATATGTAGGCAAAAGACCCTGGCTTGGCTGGAAAAAAAAAAATATATATATCTGCAATGTGATTATGCTGCCTGTACAGTCAGTGGAAATAGTTAGGTGTCTTCTGTAGGCCTTCTGGCTGACTTTTGGGTTCTGCCTGCTTTTCTTCTACAGTGGTGCAAAGAGCCATGGTCAGGGTAGCTGTGGGCTCCAGCTGCACTGAATGGTTGATTGCTGTCTCGGATTTCAGGCTGGAATAGAGAGATGTTCTGAATGAAGCTCCTGGCACCACTGAGACCCTTGGCTTGGTTCCTTGCAGCGCTGTCAGTTTTCCACTCATCTGTTTTCATGTGCTGAGACTCCTCCTTTGTGTCTGCCTGTTGGTTTTGTTTTGAGTGTTTTCTTTTCCTTCCCAGTAGCCCTTTTCATCCCCGCTTCCACCTCCCCCCAGCCCTTACTGTGCCTGGGTGAATCAGGGGATGCTCTGAGCTCCTTGTTCCTCGTGATTTCACTCCACCCTCTTTCTTCCCTCTCTCTGTCCTTGCGCTCATCTCCAGGTTAATCTTTCCCATTTGTCTTGATTATCCTGACTTGTAGTACGTCTCTTAGTGCTCCCAAGGTCAGGTTGGTGATGTTCATCATTTTGGCTTATTTCCCTAGGAAACAGCGTTGATTGGAGAAGGTCCCTGGAGTAATAAGCTTCTTTATGTCTCTGTGCATGCTTATGTGTGTGTGTGTGAGAGAGAGAGAGAGAGAGAGAGAGAGAGAGAAAGAGCAATCCTTGGTAGTACCTTACAGAAGAGACCCTCTGTGTCACAGCTCACCCGGGCCAGGGGGATGGTTAAAGGGCAGCAGAGGCAACCAGTTCTTCTTTGCTGCAACAGCAGCTATTAAGTGGTGCTTTAATGAAACAAGTGGTCAAGATCTCTGCATTTTTTAGCTCTCCCTGCTGTTCAGCAAACTAATCAAATCTTAGCCCTCAGTCTGATGAGCCTTGCACAGCATTYGTGGCTTTGTGACCCACAAGGAGATGGAGGGGAGAGGAGGGCTCCTTTCCCTCTCTGCTCCTCAGGACGTCTCCTAGCACCTCTGCTGCGCGTGCAGGGCCTGTTGTTTCTGTGCCCCACAGCCCCTGGGCAGAGGACCTGGGCTTCTGTAGGCGCTGTGGGTCTCTGCACCTGTGGGTCTCTGCTCTGATTCCCTCCGCTTTGGCAAGCTATGGAGGGCCATGGTTTTGTTTGGTCTTTGTGTGGATAATGTCCYGAGAGAATCGCAGAATCAGAGACTGGTTGAGGTTGGAAGGGACCCCTAGAGATYCTAGGGGGGGATCCTAGTCCAACCCCCCTGCTCCAGCAGGGACACCCAGAGCACGGGGCACAGGGCGGCATCCAGGTGGGTTTKGAAGATCTCCAGAGAAGGAGACTCCACAGCCTCCCTGGGCAGCCTGTGCCAGGGCTCTGTCACCCTCCCAGTGAAGAATCCATGATGATGTGAGAGGCACCTTCCTTAGTCACCTCTGGATGAATATCCTAGTGCTTCAGCAGCCAGACTTGGGCTGCTGAAGCAGATCCTGGTTCTCAAATTAATGTGCAAGGCTTTTTCTTAAGGGAGCCTATTCAGGACTGCTGAACATTTGAGTACTTGACAGAGCTATTGGTCTAAGCCTGTGTCTCCCATAATCATATCAATTTGAGCCTGCCATTGGATGGCTTAGTCCCATCTTTCTCCTTTTCCTTTGGTACTTGGTTTCTGCCTCAGGACTATGTGCCAGTGGRTTTGGGGTGAACTGTCTCTACTACAGCTCTTTGAGGAATATCATAAAGAAGGCTTACCTGGAGGCCTTGCGGCAAAATGAGGTAGCCTGGGTTTTCAGACTGTAAGTTAATGTTGAGATTCTAGTTTGCTCTTAAAACTGTGCTTYCTGTTTGTCAGAGGGACGTTTATATTTGACAGATTCTACGTGCAGGTGTGACAATCAATATATGTCAGCCTTTAAAGTGTGTTAAGCTTACAAGTCTTGAAGAAAGGCCAAATTGTGGCTAACTGTTGCTTCATTCATCTCTTTGCTTTGTGAAATCCCACATGCTCAAAAAAGGCTAGGTGCTGGATTTTCTCTAGGTGCTTCCGTTTGCTCCTGCAATACATAGGTTGTCTCTTCCAGGCCCTTCTGCAGTGAGTTATAGAAATATTTGTACATGTCATGCATGCTGTGTGACARCTGCAGAAGTGACAGCAGTAGGTCTGAGTTGCACCTGTTGATGTGTTAATGTAGCTGCAGTTTCCCCCGTTGCAGTCCCAAGTGGCCAGCAGGTAACGTTGAGGAGCCTTCGGCAGTCTGAGACACTTCACTCCTTTCTTACTCCCAGGAAGAAACTGTCTGAGAAACAAAACCTGGGGCTCCTGAAGGAGGAAGCGAATGAGAAAGCATTAACAGAGCCCTCAAGTGAAGCTCCATGGGTGGGAAGACAGGAGAGTCCACCTTTACATTAGCTAGTTTTGACATTTGGATGTGACCATTACTTATCCCCTTGGGCACTAGGCCATTGTAAGGACTGGCTGTTTGACCCAAAAGCCCTATAAAGGACCCTGGCTGTGTGTGGGAGAGCTAATAGAGAGGATAAGGTGTCACTAAGGAATGGTGTTCAGCCGTTGGTCGTGTGTGAAAACTCACCAGCAGCAACAGTAGCATATGGTGCTCCAGTATTTCTTTGTAGAGGGAAGTCATGCACAGGTACAAGCAAGTTCCCCCAGTGAGAGCAAAGAGTTTGCACTRCTGTAGGGTGAGTGATTTTTAGCCTCTCTGGACTCAAGTTGAAATCCAGGCTGGTTCAGGGGTCTTTTGGGCAGGGTTATGGACCAGACTGGCTACTAGCAAGATCATCTGCGGCTGTTTTGTGTCCCTTGTGTTGCAGTCCTCTCCTTCTGCTTCCAGCTCCTGGAGCTGCCCAGCTGTGTCATTCTCAGTGAGCCCGTGTTGCAGCAGAGGGGGGAAATAACAAAAGTGAGGTGCAGTTCATGGCAGCTSCTTCCCTGTAGCCCAGGCTGGCATGTGTGGGCTGAGCTTGGAATGAGCCCCAAACACACATGTGAAGATGCTTCTTTTCCGCCTCTGTCCTTTTGTCTGGGCCTCCCTTTGATACCGAATCCGACCTGCCTCTGAAAGGGCACTTCTGCCTCAGAATCTGGGGGTTCCCCTGAAGATTCATCCCCCTTTCCCTTACAGAGCCATTGCCTTGCCCTTTGCACGCTTGTTGCTGAGGCCGTTGTCTCTCGGGTCTGGAGCAGCAAGTCCTCCGCGCGGCGTCACCGAGCTGCTCCGCACCTCAGCAGCCAGGGCACGTGGGCCCTCAGAGGGGACGGACACGGTAGCTCCCTGGCACTCACCCGTCCCTTTGGCTTTAGGGGAAGGAGAGATTCAGGAGCTTCCTTTTGAATCCAGGTGATGCTGAAAGCGTTTGGATTAGCTGCTTTGATCATACCAGCTAAGCCTCTCCGCACACGGAGGATAGCAGCCTTCTCCTGCTCCTTGTGTATCCCTGAGGGAGGAAATGTGCAATGGCTCCGATACACTAGATTGGGATGGGACTAGGTGAGACCCAAGGGCTGGCAGCCTCCCTTTGCTCGTGGCCTCTCCCTGAGGAGAGGCTCCACTTGGCCTCTCTGCTGGGTTTTCCGGGAGGGAGCCGTGGGGGCAGGACGTGCTGCTTGTGAGCAGCGTGTCACACAAAGGTGGCGGGGCTCAGACAAGGGCAGCAGGGGGTCTCTGGCAGCGCAGGACGTGATGGGAACGGTGCTGCAGTCCGGGCAGGTGAGGACGTTGGAATCCAGCCCTTTTGGCAGGGCCGAGGCGGATCCGTGCTCTGCCTGGCACTGCCGGCATCCCCGTGTGCCTGGCCGCGCTCACACTGCCCGTGCAGCGCCAGCGTGGGGTGCTTCGGCAGAGCCCTGAGACAGCCTGGGAGCCGCCCTGAGYGCCGGGAGGGCCTTCTGGAAGCAGCTGGACAGAGCAGGAGGCTTTTCCCACGGGGAGGAGCCTGGGACAAGTCCTMCCTGTCCCCGCCTCCCTGTTCCCCTCCTCATTCTCTCAGCAGCCTCGGCTGTGTGCGGTAGAGAGCAGCGTGTTGAGCAGGCGGCCAAGGCAGCGGGAGGGCAGTTTTTTGCCTCTGGTATATGGGGCACATTCATGACGCCTTAGGGGGAAGCCCAGGCTGGAAGCACGGGCCATGCAAGACCCATGGTGCCAGGAGCGTGCACAGCCAGACACGTCCCTCGCCACTGCTGCCCTCAGAGGGGACACGTCACTGGGTGCAAGCCTTCAGCCTCTGAAAAATGCACAGCAGYGCCTGTGCCCGTGGACTGATCTTTCTTCCAGTCTGCCTCCCCTCTTGCCCTTCCCATCCTTCCCTCCTTGCGTCATTCTTCAGCCGCTTCTTGGCTG